ATAACATGAATGTGCGGTCGTGGATTTCCAAGAGGCGGCCCAAGCACCCGCTCGCGCGGCATCTCATTCGCCTCACTCAGCGCCTAGAGGCTTGCCACGGGTTCAGCGCGACCGCACTGTACATCCGCACCTACCACAACGACATCGCGGACTGGCTGTCGCGGGAGGAGGCCAAGAAGGTCCACTCCGAGCTCCTGCGCAAGGGGTGGACCCGCATCGAGCCGCCCGAGGAGTGGGGGAAGATGTTGGCCGAGGCAAAGGAACACCTCCTGCGATTGCCTGGGGGGGAGGGGCCCATTGCGGAGTCAGCGCTCCGCCATCGGGCGCTGAGGACTCCGGCAGCAGTGCCGCAACCTCGCCCTCAAAGGGCGCCGGGGTCTTGAGCTCGGGAGCCCACTGGGGACTTGCGGGCGCGCCTGGGAGCAGCTAGGTGGTGATCTGACGACAGGGGACCCAACGGGGGTGGACTGGATCATGTGCACGCTGTCCCTGGACCCGAAGGGCTTCGAAGTCGAGAAACTGGTGTCAGCCATCACCCGGGCGAGGCCGCAGGTCGTCGTGGTCGACGCCCCTGGCAAGCTCGACCTGGCCCGCGTCGTCAAGGCGCTGCGCAAGCTGGGATACCGCACGTACGACCTGGAGGTCGTCTGCACCCACTACGGCGACATGACAGCCCGAGCTCGGAGCCTGATCGTGGCAGGCCGGGGACCAGCAGGCGCTAGCCTGGCGGGCATGCGTATGCCGCCGGCGCGCCGCTGTCCCCACGGGGTGAAGCACGCGCTGAAGGACAAGCTCAGCGAAGGCGGTCACCACTGGCTCGACGACGAGGGAGGCGTCACCTGGGACCCGGCAGCTCGAGGGGGTTCCGACCCTATGCTGCCCAAGGGCATCGGCCACATCAAGCTCGCTGGCACGAAGCACCTGATCTGCTCAGTCGACGGCCCGATCGGCACGGTTCGCTGGCCCACAGAGGGCCCGGGCGGACCGGGGGGAACGTTGGTCCACGTCCCAGGAAACAGCGGCGGGCGCATCAGGGCGCTGTCGCCAGAGGAGGTCTGGATCGTGCAGGGGGGCGACGAAGCAGCTTGGGTAAGGAGGCGGGCCCAGGGCGACACCGAGGCCACTTTGATGCGAGAAGCAGCGAGGGCTTTGCCACCCGAGACGGCGAGAGCGCCACTGTGGACGCGCTGTCGCAGGCCACCCAGCGGGCGGGCGGCTGCCGTGACCCCGCGGAGTCGGCCGCCTGGGAGACGACCCGGCGGTGGCTCAGGGCCTGGGCACGGGTCGAGCTCCGGGCGAAGGCCGACACCCCCGAGGACGACCGGCACGCAGGGGTGCTGAGCGTCGACACCCACAAGGCGAGGCGCAAGAGCCAAGGCGTCCGCTTCAAGGCAATCGAGGAGGACCTCGTGCGGGCTCCCGAGCCCCCTCCTGATGCCAAGGAGGTGGACCTGAACGCAGCCGTCAGCACGCTCAAGAATCGGCGGAAGCGGAGCCCCAACCGGGGCGAGAAGGTGGAGACCCAGGGGTTGGTCAAGCCGGTCGCGCTGGGGCGAGCTCGAGCCGCCATCGCCCTGCCGGGCCACCCGACCCTGGGAGGGGAGGACTACGGCGGGTGGATCGAGGAGCAGAAGCGCGAGGCGCTGATGCTACGGCTGTCCGAGGGAACCCGCGCCAGCTATGAGACCGGCTGGAGACAGTGGCAGGGCTTCAGGGCAGCCCAAGGAGAGTCGCCCTGGTTGGAGGGGCGCGACCGCGAGGAGCGCCACGCCAACGAGGAGGCACTGCTGGGCTTCGTCGTCGTGCTGGCCAAGGTGCTGAAGCGCACGGAAGGCACGATCAAACAGAAGTTGTTCGCGGTGCGCTTCGCCCACCTCGTGGTCGGATACCCGGGCCCTCTACTCCACCGAGGCCGCCTCTGGTCCACGCGCGCCGGCCTCCGGAGAGGCCAGGGGCCGAGCGGGCGGAAGCGGCCAGTGACACCACGCATGCTCCTGTGGCTCCGAGGCTTCTTGAGAGACCAGACGAGCCTCCCCGAGACGGACGCCGCGGTCCTGTGGGCCGCCGTGGCGGTGGCCTTCTCCTTCATGTTGAGGGCGTCAGAGTATCTGATCCAGCCTGGGAAGACATGGAGCCGAGAGCGCGTCGTGCGCGGCGTGGACCTCACGAGCCGCGACGGCAACAACCAGCCCTGCACCTTCAAGGACGCGGTGGAGGTGGTGCTCCATATCACCTCTTCGAAGACAGACCAGTACAATGTGGGGTGCGTAAGGAATCAGTATGAGACAGGCACGTCGCTGTGCCCTGTGGCTGCCCCCCGCCAGCTGGAGCAGCACTACCCACAGAGGCTGCGAGGGAGCGAGGAGGAGCTCCCGCTCTTCCGCTGGGCGAGCGGAGCACCCATCCGCCGCGAGGAGGTGCAACACTACCTGGCGATCGCGGGGCTGGCCGCCGGGCTGAGGAAGGAGGAGATCGGCTCGCACAGCCTCCGCATCGGAGGCGCGACAGCGATGTACCACGCCGTGGACGACCTGCAGCGCGTCAAGCGCTTCGGGCGCTGGGCCTCCGATAGCTTCCACGGGCGCCTGTGGGAGAGCCACGAGCCCATGCGCGGCATCTCGACCGACATGGCGACAGACACGTCCGAGCTCACGGCGCCGCCGGCCCACGCGGCCGAAGGCGAGCGCCGCGCAGGCAGGAGCCCGACCCCGCTGTGGCCCAGAGCGGCGCTGGCCGCGACGACGCTCGCCGCCGCAGCTGGCAGCGCAGACGGCTACGTGATCAAGGTCGACCCGGCGGAGAGCCAGAACACGCTGATCTTCGTGCTCCAGGTCGGCTTGGGAGCTTGGGCGATGGCAGCGGGGGTGCTGCTGGCAGCCGTGCTGCTAGGCGCTGCGTGGAAGTACAGGCAGCAGCGAAGGCGCGGATGGGGCGGCCAGCGAGCGCGGCAGCAACCGCAGAGCCCGCGTCCCCCGCGCAGGCATGCTGTGCGCAGCGCTGGTGGTGACGGCGCTCACGACGGCAGCCGGGGAGATACAGAGCCAGGAAGTGGCAGCAGTCGACAGCAGGGCCCAAGGGGCCACGCTTCGCTGGGAGCCGCAGATGGGCACGGTGGCGATCGTTTTCCTAGTGGAGACGGCGCTGAAAGTGGTGGCCACGATCGCAGTGCTGCTTGCGGCGGGCATCGGGGTGCTCGGCTGCTGCTGCTGCGGGATGGCCAAGAAGAGCGAGGAGAGGCCGGAGCCAGAAGCGTAGCAGGCCACAGCGCAGCAAACGCCTAAGGCGCACAAGCCTCCCAAGCAGCCGCAGAGGACGTACTGCGACGCAGGGGTGATGGGCCCGGTGCACTACAAGCGCGCGCGAAGTACGTGCACGAGACCCAGGGCTTCCGCCAGGCCAACGAAGTGACGCGGGAGGTGGCCCCGTCAGGGCACCGCAGGTCGCCAGAATGGCCCCGTGGAGGGGAACAGAGGCCGCGTCGCGACTAAGGTGCGGGGCTGCCGCCGGCCAGCGGCCGAGCGGGCAGCGGCGGGCCGCCGCCGGCAACCGCCGCGCGGGCGCGGCGCCAGCTGAGTTCAGCCTGGCGCTCGCGATCAACTTCGCACTTGCGAACAAGCTGGGCGCGCGCTGCGGCCGCTGCTGCCCGCGGGCAGGCGCCGCGCCGGCCTGGCACCCGGCAGTGCCGTCATGGGGGCGGCAGCAGCGGCTACGAGGGAGCGCCGGCGGCTGGCCCGGCGCCAGGGCTGCCGCACAGGGCGCAGGAGGAACCACCGCCGCCGGAACCCGCCGTGCGAGCGGCCGCGCGGCGCCGGCTGAGCTCAGCCTGGCGCTCGCGCTCAGCTTTGCGCTTGCGAGCAGCTGGGCGCGGTGCGGCGGCAACTGGCGCCTGAGGGCAAGAGCGCCGCGCCGGCCCGGCAACCGGCAGCGCCGTCATGGGGGGCGGCGGTGGTGGTCACGTGGGGCGCCGGCGGCCAGCCCTGCCAGGGCTGCCGCCTAGGGCGCGCGAAGAACCACCGCAGGCGCCGGCGGCGTGCCGCCCTGCGCCTGCGGGCCCACCTTGCTGGGCAGACGCGGCAACGTGCCGCAGATGCCGGGACTGTTCTACGCCGACAAGGTCGGCGACTACGCGTCCCACTACAGCCAGTTCGGCGTGGTGGTGCGCTCGCAGGGGGATGGGGGGCGGCGCGGCCCGCTGCGCGTGGCCGAAGACGGCGCCGGCGCGTGGAGCGCCGGGCGCCGGCACAGAGGAGCAGCACGGCCCCTTTGGCAAAAGGTCGTCGTCATCATCTGAGGCCGCGTCCGTCCCTCTTCCTCCCCTCTTGAGCCCCCGCCTACTAGGCTCAAGAGGTTTTAGTTTACCAGTGCTGCTTGAGGGGTTATCGTGAGCATAGGGTCGGCATTGTTCCTGGATGGCTGCCGGTCGCCTGGTGGAGGGGGTTTACATTAAGAGAGAATAGTGGTAAACCGCTCCCCCGAGTAGGGGAAGGAAGGTTTTGGCAGAGAGAAGAAACAATTCGTTAAACCGCCTGCGCCCAGAGGGCTGGTGGGATCATGTAGTCGGTCTCCTACTCGTGTAGTGGGGTCCATGCACGTGCCCGCAGCGTTCCGTACGTTTTCCGCTGGCGGTCGTCGTGCTTTTTTCTTGGTATGTTTCTCCTCCTCTGGTCAGTGAGAGCAGACACCACAGTTGCGCAGCGGGCGACCCATGCCATACATCACCTGTCATATAGGTTGTTTTAACCTCCTGCCGTCTTCACGTTCCTTTGCTTGCTCGGTACTCTTACCTCCATCCTTCTTCGTTCGTTGTTCGCCTTCCTCCCTCATGGCCGGGAGCGGGGAGTGGCGCAGGGTGCATGGGTGAGTCCTCATCGTCGTCGTCGTTGTCGCCGACGGCATCATTTTTTGCATCGTTCTTTGTTCGTAGTCGTCATCGTCGTGACGTTGACGCCGTCTTACCGCGTCGGCGTGCAGCGGGTGCCTTCCCAGGGGCCTCTGCGCAGGCACACTTGCAGAGGCTGGACGAGGTGACCAGCAGGCTACCGCCAAGGACGCCAGGGTTCCAGTAGGTTTGAGGAGGGGTCTTGAAGGGTGGGGGAGGGCAAGGGTGCAGGAGGCATTTTGCTGACATGCGTCTTGGTGCTCCTGGTGTTGCAGATGCAGGAGGGGCCCAGGAGGAGTTGGATGCAGAAATGGGGCATCCCCATCATCGCATTCCCCTCCTTCCGCCCTCCTCCCTTTGCGCTCCGCCCTCTCTTCCCGTCTCCCTCCATTCCCCTCTTCTCCCCTCCCCCGTGCTTTCCGCTCCGTTCGTTCCACCTGCTCCCCTCTCAATCCTCACCTGTGCCCCATCACGTCCCCGCCCTCCCCCCCTCCCCTCCCCGTCCCGTTCCTGCTCTACTTCCCTGTCCTCCCTCGTCCCCTTCCTCTCCGACCAAGTCACCCCGCTCGTCTTCCTCCGTCCTCGTCCCGTGAGCCATGAGCCGTGGCCGGTCTTCCCTCGTCCCCGTCTGAAGCGCCTTGGCTTCGCACCCGCGGGCTACAGCGCAGGCGGTCCCTATCCTCGGCCCTGATGCTGTTGGAGCCCGCCCCCCATCCCCTGTGACCCTTTCCCCCCTGCCCCTCCCGCTCCGTGAAGGCCCTTGCCGAGGCCGCCAGAAAGGCTCCTAAGGATCTGGGGGATGAGGGGTCCTCAAGTTCTGGTGTTTGTTTAAGAGTTCTTGCTGATTTTAGGTAGCTCCTCAAGAGCCTTCCTGTCCTCCCCTCCCCATACCATGCCTCACGCTTGCCCTCAGCATCGCGCCCCCCCACCCTAGTCCATCTCACCGCCCCTCCCCGCGGAGCGGCCCTGGAATCCCCCCAGTTGCCGGTTGAGATGGGGAGGAGTGGGAGGGGAATTGCAGCGCGGTCTTATTTGAATCGTCCCCGCGAGCATCGATAGCAAACAATTTTCCCGCAGTTGGTCAACAATCGTGTATCGATCTGTTGCCTGGCCATCGTGGACTGACAATCGTCTTGGCGGGGGACAGCAACAAGTGTCAGTATGCATGTGCTATGAAAGACGCCATTGCAAATTTGTTTGTCATCCGTTGGCATTTAGGCCAGCTTTCTGTAATACTTTCGGCTTCAAAAGTGCAGAACATCCATCGCGATGGAGGTGGTTGCAATGGCGATGTGGTATCGATTTGTGGCAGCAACGCGTGTTGCACATCGCCATCTTCAGAACGCCAATCGGGCCAGCCCCGTTCCGAATCAAGCGCCCAATATGACTTGGAAAACCAAGCATTCAGGTAATATGTAGCAACAGTTTGAATGCACATTGACAAACGACGTACCGTTCAATAACACTTGTTGAGCTCACGCGGGCCAGCCGCTTTTTGCTAAGTGCAATGCTAGCGTGCTGTATTTAGCTGCTTCGAAATCTGACCAGCGTGTCACGTCCCTGCCAGAGTTTTCCAAGTGTTCAGGGCAGCATACCGCCAGTAAGCTCAATCGGAGGTGAGGGGGTGAGGTCGCAGTGAATCGGAAAGCCCCCCACTGGGAAATCTGTTTAGGTTTCGTGTTCGTGTCGTGCGTGCGGGCGAAGCTGCGCGGGCCGGCGATAGGAATACATGAACCCACCTCTGGCTAGACCGCCGCCGGACCAAAAGACGCCCCCCCCCGTTGGCCGGCGTTTGCCAGGGGTGTCCCGTCGTGGTGTCCCGACGGTGTCCCGCTGGTGTCCACTAGTGAGATTCATAGCGAGATCGATAGTGAGACCGGTAGTCTGATGGATAGTGACATTGATAGTTAGATCGATGATGGTAACGATAGTGGTATCGATAATGGAAAGAGCGTGTTCTACCGCTGCTGGCGGAAAACCGGGGGGGGGGGTCACTACCGGTTCGAACCCCCCCCCTCCGGAAAACCACCGGGGGGGGTCCTTGCTGGTTCGAGCCCCCCCCCCAGTGCATCATGAAAAGGGGGGGGTCACCACCGGTTCGAACCCCCCCCCCCTCCTCGAAAACCGAGGGGGGTCACTACCGGTTCGAACCCCCCCCCCCCTCCCCTCGAAAACCGGGGGGCGTGCGGACAGTGGTGCGTACGGTGGTGGTTGGGACAGTGGTGAGGGGACAGCGGGACAGTAGTGGAACCAGTGGGACGGTGGTGGGGGCGGTAGTGGTGGGGACAGTGGTGAAAGCGGTGGTGAGGACAGTGGTGGGACAGTAGCACGGCGGGGAAAGTGGCGGGGACAGTGGGGACAGTGGGACAGTGATGGGGACAGTGGGGACCCTAGGACAGCACAGTGGGACAGCGGCGGGGACAGTGGGACAGTAGTGGGTACAGTGGGGACAGTGGGACAGTGGTGGGGACGGTGGGGAAAGTGGGGAGAGTGGGACCGTGGTGGGACAATGGTGCGGAGAGTGGGGACATTGACAGACTGGTGGGGGCACTGGTGGGGACAGCGGGGACAATGGTGGGAACAGTGAACAGTGGGCCAGTGGTGGGACCGATGGTGGTGGGGACAGTGGTGTGGGGACAGTGGGAATGTGGTGGAAACAGTGGGACAGTGGAGGGTACGCTTACAGTGAAGGTGGGGACAGTGGTGAGGGCGGTGGCCAGGACGGCGGTGGGACAATGGGACAGAGGTGCAGTGGGGACAGTGGTGGGGACAGTGGGGACAGTGGTGGGAACAGTGGGACAGCTCAGTGGGACAGCGGAGGAGACAGTGGGAAAGTGGGGACAGTGGGGATAGTCGGGCAGTGGTTGGGGCCGTGGAGTAAGTGGGGAGAGTGGAACCGTGGTGGGAACAGTGGTGGGGACAGAGGGGACAGTGCGACAGTGGTGGGGGCACTGGTGGGGACAGTAGGGACGGTGGTGGAACCAGTGGGGACAGTGGTGGTGAGGACAGTGGTGCTGGGAACAGCAGTGGGGGATGTGGTGCGGACGGTGGTAGGGACCGGGAGTCGTTTGCTGGCGGTGAGGGGGGGGTTCGAACCAGTAGTGACCCCCCGGTGTCGAGGGGAGGGGGAGGGGGGGGGTTCGAACCGGCAGTGACCCCCCTTGGCTTTCGAGGGCGAGGGGGGGGGGTCTCGAACTGGTAGTGACCCCCCTCAGTTTTCTGGAGGGGGGTGGGGGGGTTCGAACCGGTAGCGACCTTCCTCATGATAGGGGGGGGGGGTCATTACTGGTTCGAACCCCCTCCCCCCCTCGGGGGGTCACTACCGGTTCGAACCCCCCCCTTCGAAATTTGAGGGGGGGTGCGGACAGTGGTGGGGACGGTGGTGTTTGGGGCAGTGGCGAGGGGACAGCGGAACAGTGGTGGGGGCAGTGGTGGGGGCGGTAGCGGAGCGGCGGGGAAAGTGGTGGGGACAGTGGGGACAGTGGGACAGTGATGGGGACAGTGGGGACGCTGGGACAGCACAGTGGGACAGCGGCGGGGACAGTATGACAGTAGTGGGGACAGTGGGACAGTGGTGGGGACCGTGGGGAAAGTGGGGAGAGTGGGACCGTGGTGGGACAATGGTGGGGAGAGTGGGGACACGGACACACTGGTGGGGGCACCGATGGGGACAGCGGGGACAATGGTGGGAACAGTGGGGACAGTGGGACAGTGGCGGGGACGGTGGTGGTGGGGACAGTGGTGTGCGGACAGTGGGAATGTGGTGGAAACAGTGGGACAGTGGTGGTGGGGACAGTGGTGAGGGCGGTGGCCAGGACGGCGGTGGGACAATGGGACAGAGGTGCAGTGGGGACAGTGGTGGGGAGAGTGGGGACAGGGGTGGGGCAGTCGGACAGCCCAGTGGAGGAGACAGTGGGAAAGTGGGGACAGTGGGGATAGTCGGGCAGTGGTTGGGGCCGTGGAGTAAGTGGGGAGAGTGGAACCGTGGTGGGAACAGTGGTGGGGACAGAGGGGACAGTGCGACAGTGGTGGGGGCACTGGTGGGGACAGTAGGGACGGTGGTGGAACCAGTGGGGACAGCGGTGGTGAGGACAGTGGTGCTGGGAACAGCAGTGGGGGATGTGGTGCGGACGGTGGTAGGGACCGGGAGTCGTTTGCTGGCGGCGGGGGGGGGAGGGGCTCGAACCGGTAATTAGTTACTTCCGCGGTTTCCGAGGGGGGGGTTTGGAGGGGGGGGGGGGAACGGCCCCCAGGGGGAGGGAACTTCGTTTTCGAGGGGGGAGGGGTTCGAAAAGTGACCCCCCCGGTTTTCTGGAGGGGGTGGGGGGGGGGGGGGGGGGGGGGAAGGAGAGGGGGGGTTTTGCCGGGGGAAGGGGGAGGGTTAGGAGAGGGGGGGGGATTTTCGGAGGGGGGGAGGGGACCCCCGAGCTCTGGAAGAAGAGGGGGGGAAGCTTCCACAAAAAAGCGGCCGTGGATTACGCTCTCTCCGATAATGAGACCAATAGTCAAATCGATACTGAGATCGATCGTAATATCGATCGTGAGATCGAACGTGAGATCGACATTGATATCGATCGTGAAATGGACCGTGAGATCGATACTTATACCTATAGTGCTGGGGATAGTATGATCGACTGTGACAGCGATAGTGAGATCTATTGTGAGATCGACTGTGAGATGGATCTGAGATCGATTGAGTGAGACGTTGGTTCCTCCCTCCCCGAACTTCCCTATCACCCGGAGGAGGATCGTATAGGCAGTGTATCACCATAGCCACTGCGCAACAGAGAGTATACATGTGTAGTCGCCCCGGTGCATCTATCAGTGAAGCGACCCGCGTCGACAGATAACACGTATTCAATAATTGTTTTGTAGTGCATTAGTTGTTTCGTTGTTTCCTGAAGGGCCCGATGCAAGCCAGAACCGCTGCACTGTGGCTATTGCTCTGTCTGGTATGCTTCTGCTGCTTGTCCTCCCGCTCCCCCTCATCCAGCGCCTCCGGGTTGACCGCAGGGAACCTGGAAGCGGCGGCGCGTGCGCACAACGCAAAGCGCGTGGAGCAGGGGCTCGCCAGCAGGGATTCGGAGGCACCGGCTTGCCGAAAGCCCTGGGCCGGGCGCAGGTTGGATGGGTGAGGCTGGCGGTTGGCTGGGTTGGGTGGGGTGGGCGTGCGGGTTGGGCGTGCGTGCCTGGGGTGTGGAGGTGGATTTTGTGGATTTGGAGGATTTGGTGGGTGGGTTGGGTGGGGCATGGGTGGCATTGGCGGGTTGGGAGGGGCGAGGTTGGCGGGGCGGTTTGGATTCGGCGGGGAGGGAGGGGTGGACGGAGTGGGCTTTGGGGGCACTAGTCCCGTTCTCCATCCACTTGTTCGCCCTCCCCCCTCCATTTCACTTCTCCCATCTCTTGCTCCCTCCCTTCTGCCCGATGCACTGTCTTTCACCAGCCCTTCTCTCGCCCTGATCATGCCTCTGGCTTCCTCCCTCCACCCTCCTCCCCCCGTTCCATCTCTTGCGGTGAAAGTCAGCGAGCCCTTGCACTTCGAGCGGCTGGCTGCGATATTGAAGTGGCAGAATACCCAACGCGGGACAGCCTTTTGTCTAATCGACGCTCACGGCACGACCTTTACGTTTGGCGCGACACGGCCAGGCCTTTTCGGAGTTGCTTTGAACGCGCGTCTGCTGAGCGGCGTCACGCTGGTTCGCAGTGTCAACGCAAAGTCACCCTTTTCTTCCTCCCCCGTAACGGCTTGCATACGTTGTTCATTGCTCATTGCACCTGGACCGGAAGCTGGATCACAACTCGGTGCATGCAGCGGTGCGATCCATGCGTGTTCGGATGCCCCAGGCGCAACGCCGTAGCTCGGGTTGCTCGGACGGGCGAGCGGATCGCCTCTGCCGCGCCGCGACAAAAAGTGTTCGGCTGCCCCAGAAACACGACAGAGTGGACCGTTACATGTTGGAGGCCTAGGTCCTGCGGCGATTGGTCCTTATCTGCGTGAGGGGTGCCACCGAATTCTAGACGCACCCCTCTACACCTCGTATCCCTCTTCGACGGGTGAGGACTCACTAGGCTCGCAATAGGCGACCTTGTCCACAAACTCGGAGCCAGTCACAGATTTCAATCTTCAGCACTCGCTGAGCACAATCTGCAGAGAGGCAGCTGAGGCAGTCGCGCGCAGACGGAGCGCAGCTCCCGACCCCCAGGACGGAGGCCCCCCGCATCAGCAGCTGGCGGCGGACGTCTGGGATCTTTTCCGCCAGGGAGACCCGCTTGACAACAGGACGCCATGGGAAAAGCACCTCGACTCTTTGGAGCAGGGCAGCACACTGCTCATCGTGGCAGGCCCTCCCTGCAGCAACCTATCCGCAGCAGGGCAGTTCGCGGGAAACGACGGGCTGGCCGGCGCCAAGTCCTGCTGCTTCTTTGCCGTCCCAGTAGCGTGGTACCTGGCAAACAAACGAAGGCCCGACCTCACGATCTTGGTGCTGGTGGAAAACGTCGCCTCCATGCCCGCTGCGCACTGCAAGGCCATGTGTACAGCCATGGGGGACCTGAACCCTGAGTGGGCGGTCGAAATGAACGCAGGAGACGCTGCTGCCAGCCCGAGAGAAAGACTTTGGTTTGGGAATTTCCCACCCCCAGTCGACACCATCTCCTACCCCCGCCTCCCCAGCCCCTGGGAACCGAGGTGGGCTTTCAGACCGGACGGAAGGATCCCGACCTGGACACAGTCCAGGGCACCCCCGGGAGATCCAGACTCGATCCTCCCGAGTAGCTACCAGACCCACCTACTCTGCCTCCTGTACGACGAGGACAACAGCCTCAGATGGTTCCTTAGGAACCCAAGTGAGCTGAAGCACGGGGCGCGAGGTGTACTTGCAGAGTGCGGAGCAGAGCAGCGCTTCCCCGGATGCACGGAGGGACTGAACCTCGTGATGGCAGGAAGGGAAAGAGAAAACCCCGCCGCAGAGGCCAAGGTCAAAGCTTGGGGAAAGTGGCTGGTGAAGGAGGGCAGGGCACGCGGGCTCAGGCCCCCCACGGCCGACGAAAGAGCGAGGGCGGTCGGCCTAGCCGGCTACTACCGGGCGCTCGGGATACAGGACAGAGCACTCTGCGTCGCGGTTGGCATACACTTCGACCCCCGCTGCCTACAGCGTAGGATAGTATCCGCGCTCCGGGCATGGAGCAGGGGGCGCCCAGGAGGAGACACCTGCACACCAGCCCCCGCGCGTGAGCAGATAGCACAGGGATGGGGAGCAGCGAGAACTTACGCAGGGATGCAATGCCCCTGGGCGCAGCTCAGGGAGCGCCCCCTCCCGGTCGACCTCGCAGAGCGGCTGCTGCAGACGGATGGCCTCTTCCCCCGGTCGCCGCTCCCCTAGACTCCGCAGAGGGCCCCAGAACGCTTCACCAGGCGCTGGGGTCCCCGCTCAGGCACCAGCTGGTCCCCGGGCCACGTACTCGGGCGTGTTGAACCGCCTGCCGCGCACTCAAGTCGGCCATAGAGGCACTCAGTCGGCGCAAGTTCCGCGGCCCGCGGGGCCTATGGAGTCTCCTCCACGCAGACCCCTGGAACCAACCCACCTGGGGTACCCTCTGCGGCACGCGCGCCCTCAGTGACCTGATCCACGCACTTGGCGCCAACCCCGCCTGCAACCTCCCCAAGCTTGTCAGTTGGAACGTTAGATACCTTCGGAGCTGCACGGCCGCTAAGAACCAAATCAAGCACGCAGTCCTCACCCAGACAATAATGAACAACCGCATCGGCCTAATACAAGAAACGCATTGGTCAGAGCACGAGGTCTGGAGAACCATGTTCCTGGCCCGCACCCTGGTCGCATCTCCGGGCTATCTGGGGCCGGCTGGAGGACTCGCCGCGGGAGTTGGCATCCTTCCTTCTCCCCCGCGGCGTCACCCTCCTAGAGCAGGAGGCGATTGTCCAGGGGTGCGCCATCGCCGCCATCGTTCGCCAGGGCGAGCACAGGTTTCGGGTGGTCTCAGTGTGCCTCCCACCTTCAAGAAAGGAAGAGACCCTCTCCGAGATCGCCCACGCGACCGAGCAATGGGGACACATTGACACCTATTGGGGAGGCGATGTTAACCTACAGCTCGATGGTTCACGAGACGGCGAGGTCGAAATGGTCGCCCTCCTACAGGACCTTCTGGCCGGCACCGGCCCCGCGACAGCGCGCGCGTCTGGGCCGACCAGAATCGATAAAGACAACGAATCCCAGATAGACATGTTTGCGCGCCCGGCGCTCCAAGCCTGCGCCTACGAAGTCCGCAAGGCCTGGAAGCTAACGCTGTCGGACCACGCTCTCCTTCTCCTGGGGTCCCAAGGGGCCCTCAGAGCCCGACGGGGTAACGCCATGAAAGCAGGGGGCCTCGGGGACCTCCCCACCGCGGCGCACGCGACCTCTGACAGGCTTTCCCCTATCTGGAACTCACCTTCGGGGTTCCCCTCGTCGACCTCACTGGACTCATTCAGCCGCTGGACTGGGTTAGACCAGCAAGCCCCGGGGAGTCCCCAGACAGACGCGTAGATAACGACGACAGCGAGATCATCATCCACGACAGACCTCAGGCGCACAACCCCCGGGGCCAGGGTTTTCCCAAACCAAACGGGTCTTCCCAAACCAAATGTTGCGGAATCAGACCGCCGGGTCTTCCCAAACCAAGCCCAGGTCTTCCCAAACCAAACGGGTCTTCCCAAACCAACGCCCCCAGGTCTTCCCAAACCAACCGGGTCTTCCCAAACCAACTCTCCGGGTCTTCCCAAACCAACCGGGTCTTCCCAAACCAACATCCGGGTCTTCCCGATACAACCGGGCTTTCCCAAATCAACTCCCCGGGTCTTCCCGAACCAAACGGGTTTTCCCAAACCAACCGGGTCTTCCCAAACCAACCTCCGGGTCTTCCAAACCAGCCGGGTCTTCCAAAACAAATCCCCGGGTCTTCCCAAACCAAACGGGTCTTCCTAATCCAACCGGGCTTTCCCAAACCAACTTCCGGGTCGTCCCAGACCAACCGGGTCCTCCCAACCAATTCTCCAGGTCTTCCCAAACCAACCGGGTCTTCCCAAACCAACTCTCCGGGTTTTCCTAAACCAAACGGGTCTCCCCAAATTGGCCACGTCGACGGGGCAGCGACCGCAGCCCAAGCATTCAAGGCTTAAGCATAATTAACCCAGTGCGACCCTACCTAGGAGTTGGGGCCTCTAGGAAAGCAACATTAGTAGGAGCGGTAAACGCCGTCCTCCTCCTTCTCCTCATCGTCGTAGTGGTAGTAGTAGTAGTAGTAGTAGTAGTAGTAGTAGTAGTAGTAGTAGACGTCGTCGTCGTCGTCGTCGTCGTCGTCGTCGTCGTCGTCGTCGTCGTCGTAGTAGTAGTAGTAGTAGTAGTAGTAGTAGTAGTAGCAGTAGTAGTAGTAGTAGTATTTGTAGTATTTGTAGTAGTAATAGTAGTAGTAGTAGTAGTAGTAGTAGTAGTAAGTAGTAGCAGTAGTACTACTACTGCTAGTAGTAGTAGTAGTAGTAGTAGTAGTAGTAGTAGTAGTAGCAGTAGTAGTAGTAGATGTAGTAGTAGTAGTAGCAGCAGTAGTCGTAGTAGTAGTAGTAGTAGTAGTAGTAGTAGTCGTAGTAGTAGTAGTAGTAGTAGTAGTAGTAGTAGTGGTAGTAGTAGTAGTAGTGGTAGTACTAGTAGTAAACGTAGTGGTAGTAGCAGCAGCAGCAGTAGTAGTAGTCGTAGTAGTAGTAGTAGTAGTAGTCGTCGTAGTCGTAGGCGTAGTAGTAGTCGTAGTAGTAGTCGTCGTCGTAGTAGTAGTAGTAATATTTGTAGTAGTAATAGTAGTACTAGTAGTAGTAGCAGTCGTAGTAGCAGTAGGAGTAGTAGTAGTAGTAGTCTTCGTAGTAGTAGAAGTAGTAGTAGTAGGTACTAGTAGTGGTCGCAGTAGTAGTCGTAGTAATAATAGTCGTAGTAGTCGTAGTAGTCGTAGTAGTAGTCGTAGTAGTATGAGTCGTCGTTGTAGTCGTCGTAGTAGTCGTCGTAGTATCCGTCGTAGTAGTAGTAGTAGTAGTAGTAGTAGTAGT